CTAAGCATCCCTCCAAAAATCATCCACATTCAATGCATCTTTGGAAATAACAGTCGATCTCGCCGTCGACGACCTCGAGGGCACCGTCGGCGGGACTTCTAATATATTTAATCTGGAGTCTTTAGAAATTCTCGCCGTCAGCGCCGTTGGGCTCGCCGTCGGCGCCCTAGTTCAAATCTTCACATTTTGGTCATTTTCGCTCCAAATTCGCTCTTTTTTGCATCTTTTTGCTCTAATAACCATAATTCATCATACCTGCAACAAAACATCAAAAATATATTTCTTTAAAGTGCAATATCATCAAAAACAGTGTAAAATAGGTATGAAAATCTCAACATATTTTCATTTGGTCAAGTACACTTATGAAGCCACCTCGATGAACCACAACTTGATCATTATGAATGAATAGATCTCTTAGCCTAACTTGTAATTAAGCAATACAAAATCAACCATAAAAGATTAATTTTATCAAAACTTAATGATGATTTTTTTCCTTTAGCCAACACTTTAGGCTAATCAAATGTATTTCTCTTACAATTCATTGATGGAAGACACTATTTGATTAATAAACTTATACTGGCCATATGGTCATAGAAAAAATTACATTTGTACTACAGTATAATTCTAGTAGTTATTCTTTCAATCATGTTAGTGAGACTATATTGAGGAAAAAAAACTAATAATTTTTCACATAATTTTGCATATTGATGGTAAGTCAATCATTCAATCGTAAAGTTTGTGCTCGAGCATTCTAAATTTAAATAAGAAATTTCTTAAATTTAAATTTATCCTATGAAACATGCCTAAGGAACAGAGCTTTTAGGATGTTGAATTCAAGTTTATCATGTGAAACATGCCAAAAGAATAGAGTGATAGAGACCCTGAGGGAGAAAAATAAGGAGACAAAGTAAATAAAAGAAATAACACATGGACTTAACTCGTAGAGGCGAACTGGTGTATCATTGGGCTCTTTGACCCCTTTTATATATAAAAAATAGTGGTTACATTGAGAGGGACAGAGAGTTCTCCCAACATGAAAAATGGTCAAGAGAGAAGAGCTCCATTTTTTACATGCAATGGGCTCCCTATTTATAGGAGAAAGTGGTACCAAGTCTAAAATTACATGCTTATTTACCCCTACCTTAATGAGGAAGTTACATGTTATTATTATTATTTTATTAATTCCCGGCTTTAATAGGGGAATTACATGTTTTTATGGTGTTTTTTATATTCATAACTGATTTTTGACACATTTTCATCATCAATCATTTTATATGGACTATTAGATTGTCTAAAGATTTGTGCATGTTATTTTTGGGTGTACAATATCTAAATTTGAAAGATTGCTTAATGTTAACTCATGGAGGATCAAAGATAAATATATTATCATACAATGATGGTCACAAACATTGTCATCCTATGCAGAGCATCATTATGCTATAATGAAGGGTGAGAGATGAGGTCCTTTGATTCCAAGAAGAGATATATATGAAGTGTTGATAATTTCAGTTCAAAAATTTTTAAGAAGGACAAAAAACAAGTCTGGAATGTTGATGGGATTGCACAAAGAGATAAAGGCAGTGTCATGGAGCTTGCAATAGATGTAGGACATTAGGTTTGGGGAAGAATAATGAAAAAGAAAGAAGATTGATTTAGTTTATGTTAAGATCACATAATTCATCATTATTGATCCCAAGTCCGAGAAAATCCTTAAATATGATGGGTAAAGAGTATTCACTATCCCAACGCCAAATATCATTAACTGCAGCCAACACTGACAGCAAACCCAAAGTCATCACAAATGACTGGATATTAATTGTTATGGTAAAAGTTATCATTTGCAAAGGTTATTCACCCTTTTTTTTTTATCATAACGCATCTTACAATATAAAGGTTATTCACCCCTAACAACTCATCAAAGTACCCACTTGTCAATTATGCATTCTAAGTATAAGAACTCACCAACGATACTCACCCTTAATTTGAAGCTCACTCAACTTTCCTAACTAGCAATCAAGTATATATCATAGTTATCAGCTACAAAACAATGCAGCGTTTAATTTTACATTTTTATTTGTGTTAACTTGCTATGGAGCAAATGCCATGTCGTCGATCTCATCCATGCCAATAGATAATGATTCATTGATAGAGTGCAACGACACATGCGAACTTGAACTCAAAACTTCAAACTATCCTACTATAATCTCTCACTAAATCTCCCATGGATTCTCTTCAAAAACTCCTTTTTTTTTATGAATAAACTCTATAGCTTGGTTTTACCCACTATTTTTTTATCAAGAAGCTCTCAAAAAGGATTATTGAGACAACCTAAACTCGTCCATCTAGGTATTGTTCGTTTTGGCAAAACTTGATAGATCAGTATAACTTCTCCAAAGTTCAACCATTCCATGAAAGCTTCCACACAAACACACATAACTTCAAAGTTTCTAATAAAAATTCAATCTTTCCATCAAAAGTCACAATGATGTTCAGGAGTTCATCTTCATCCTACTTAGGGTTTCACAACATCTCTAATAAAAGCAATTCTTTCTACTTTACACTTTGATATTTTTGCCATTATAGTAGTTATGTCCCATAAGCTTTTTAAGAACATACATGTAAAATTAGGTTTTTCACAACCAGAGAAACAGGCGGGCCCACAGCATGACTGCAGGTCATAATGAGAGAGTGGGGCTCGGCACCAACTTGCAGCTCTATGTTTAATAAAGTTTTCCAGCTAATATTCACATGTTCGTGGATCATGCAGGCCAAAAATTTTATACATTATGGCAAATTTGCATGAATGCCCACAATTCTTATGTATTTGCATATCGAACATGTAATATTTGATATTTATATTTGTATTTATATTATTATGGCACACCATTCTTATGTATTTATATATTTAACTTCTAAACTTTAGTATTTGGTTATGTAACATTCAAGTCTTTCTACTTTATTAGAATTCTATATTTTCATGCACAAGTTCTAAGTCATTGTGACATTCAAGTGTTGAAAAGATATATAATAAAATGTATGTGTCACTTGTTACATGTGTTATCTATCATAGTGGGTGCCACCTCATCATGAAGTTATTGGCATTAACAGCGGCGATGTCTCGCTTCGAAGAGAAAACGCTCGTCTTAGACTTTCTCTAGTAACATTGCGCCATAAAAACCTCCTAATCCTCTATTTACGTTGGATCATCTCTTCTGCTCTATCTGAGGGGAATCGAAAAAGTACAGAGTATAGTTCATGTCTGGATAATGCATTCATTTTCTTCTTTCACCTTCCTTGCGCAAATCTCTCATGAATTTTGCGAGCTCACTGCTAATAAAAGAGCCAACGTCCTAAAAAAGATTCAATATATATTTAAATAGATTGAAATAAAAATCAAGTGAAATGCATGTATATCTTCTAAATGCATATGATACCACCATTGCCACTCGACCCATAATTTCTCTCTCTTACAAGCTCAGCCTCCCCCTAGCTAGGGCTGTCAAAAAAGTTTGTTGTTTGCGAACAACTCATGTTCGACTTGTTCGCTACAAGAACAAAATTTTTAAGCTCGAATTATAAACGACTGATAAACTTGTATCCAATCGATCATCTCAATCGGGAGTATTCTAGCAAATCAATCGATCAATTACCGTTATATCAAAATTCAAATTATAATACATATATGGAATGAAATCCATTCAATTAATCAGAGCATTAATTACATTAAGAATAAATTTCACAGCCATTCATTCCTTTCAGTAATAGTATAAACTATGTTCTTATAAATAAGAGATAAAAGGACGACCGAAATGAGGCATGTCATTTGGACTCCCCCAGCTCTCTCTATAGTAACTATTGATTCACTTTATTTTTTTCTTCACTCAACTCTAACCCTCGAGAAGTGTTCACAAAAAAAATAATTTGGAATACAACAAAAATATATATCTATATCTAAAGAGCCTTCTAGTACGCAGAGTTGGTTCATGTTCGAATCCAACATCCCAACTCTATTTTTTCTAATTAATTTTAAAGAGTCAATTTCAAGTTGAACACGAACAAAAATATTTAAATCGAGTCGAACACGAACACATAATTCACGAGCCGATTTCAAACACTAATAATTTTAGATGAGGGCCAAACTAGAACTAGCTCTGCTCCTGGCCGTCAGGCTGCGGTAATAACCTCGCTCCTAGTTATTAAAAAAAAAAAGACCGATCTTTTAACCAGACAACTAACAAAAAAAAGACATTTTTATGACAAAACATAGCCGACAGTACAAAAAGCAAAGCAAAGAACCCAATTCCCACTTCCCCTCTCCCCTCTCCTTCTCCCACATGGCTCATCCCCTTCCTTCCGCCACCCTCCTCCTCTCCCTCCTCTACTCCGCCGCCACCCTCCCCATCAATCTCCCTCTCTGCAACCTCTTCTCCGGCCAATGGCTCCCCGACTCCTCCTTCCCTCTCTACCAATACTCATCCTGCCCAATCATCGATCCCGAATTCAATTGCCAGCTCTACGGCCGCCCGGACTCCGACTATCTCCGCTACCGCTGGAAGCCGGCCGCCTGCAAGCTGCCAGCGTTTAATGGCACCGATTTTCTAGTAAAGATGAGAGGGAAGACGGTGATGTTCGTCGGCGACTCTCTCGGCCGGAATCAGTGGGAATCGCTTATTTGTATGCTCGCCGCGGCGGTGCCCTTGTCGGCGGCGGTGATGTTGCGGGGTGATCCCCTTTCTACGTACAAGTTTTTGGTACCCACTTAAATTCCACTCTTTCTTTTCTAATTTTTTCTTTTAATTCAATCTGTCAATATTATTTTAAATTTCTTTAGATTAATGTATTTAATATATTAGGAGAATTTACATTAAACTCTACAATTTCTGATTTTTTTTATTCGTATATAATTTATATGTAAAAAAATTATTTTTATAAATATATTAATATATATTTATACACACACACACAAACGTTTCATGTATTTACATATATCTGATAATTAAACTTTAATTTTTATATGAATATTAATTTAATTGTGCATAGAGATCACCCGAAACTTACTATTTACAAATCAAGCTCCTTCTTTTTTTTCCATTTTTCAAGTTCTTGCTCAAATATCAGGATCCGCGGTAAAACTTCCCAACCAATATTTTTCATTTTTATCAAATTCTCAATAATTTATTCGCGACACACTTAAATACATTGATTTAATAGTTTAAAAGAATCAACTACCTGATTGATTTGTAAATATCAATGTTTTGTGTGATCTACATGTAATTATCTCTTTTTTCAACTTAAAATCATATTTTCATTTAGTTTTAATAAATGAAGATCAATTTTTTATATAATAAGCCCAAGTCTTCTCAGGTCTACTTCTGTCGTTCTTAACATAAGTCGAATCTAAAACATCTACTCTCTTAATCTGATCATAAGATGATCGAGGTTTAATGTGGCCAAACCATAAAATAATAATATTTTTTTATGTGACAAGAAACTGTTTATTTGGTATAAATGTAAAAATTAAAATTTAAGAATTCCATTTGGGTCAGCTTATAAGTGCGGGCGGTTTTTTCAAAACGCCGCCATACCGTTTGGTTAGCGCGTTTCATCAGCTTATCTGAAACTGCGTTTGAGTTTTTACACTAAACGCAGGCCGCAGGTCGACCACTGCGGCCGGCCCGAGGGCCGCGTTTCAGGAAAAACAGCTTATTCTGAAACGCACAAGCTGTCCCAAACTAACCCTTAGATATCTAAATTTATATGAGCTAACTATAGAGAGAGAGAGAGAATTACAGGAATACGAGGTGTCGGTTGCATTCTACAGAGCTCCATACTTAGTAGACATTGATTCGGTGAATGGGATTAGAATTCTGAGGCTTGATAGTATTGACAAGAATGGTGAGGCATGGAAAGAAGCTGATGTCCTCTCCTTTAATTCCGGCCATTGGTGGACTCATACTGCAGCTCTGCAAGGGTACCAAACATTTTGATGATAGATATGTAAATATATAGGAAGTAAATGGTATATTTGTAAATCTATCGTTTGTTTGTTGTAAGGTGGGATTATATGGGGGAGGATGGAGCATACTACAGAGATATGGACCGGGTGTTGGCTTTCGAGAAGGGAATGAGCACGTGGGCCAATTGGGTTGATGCAAACGTCAACACTACAAGAACAAGAGTCTTCTTCCAATCTCTTTCTCCAACGCATTACAAGTATGTGTGCTTCTTCTTCCCTTCCTCCTATCTTCATTTGCTCATACTTACTTTGATGTAGGTTATTTTGGATATCTATTCACATGAAATTAGGGTTTAGAAAACCAGGTTTGGGCTCGCTAGTTCGACTCTTTCTATCGAGAACTGGTGGCTAGTTTAGTCTAAATAATTAAATAAAATCATTTCTGGTTGTGAACCGCTCGGTCGAATCAACAGTTCGACATGTAGACCAACAAATCAGTCAAAACCATGGATCAGCTTTGTTTGACCAATTCTGCGAGATTCCGAGTGGCGTAGGAGTGTTGCTCCCTTGTAGGCTCATGCTGTAGAGCTTTAAGACCTTCAGATCCTGATTGATGAGATGCATAATTGTTAAGAGTTTATTTCTTTTTTTATATTTGTGATTATTATACCCAATTATTTGCTTGAAATAAGAAAATCATATTTGACTATATTTATATAAGTTGTCAATATAATTTAAACAAAATTTGAAAGCTTATATAAATGGACAAAATATAAAGTATTTATTTATTTATTTTGTATAAATAGATTTTGTAATTTCAAGAACATCTAGCCTTAATGGGCTTCAGGCTCTGACAACTGATCTCAATTATCTGGCCCATGTAAAATTATAGCCCAATGGAGTGGAAGGATCCAATATCCAGAAACTGCTACGGGGAAACAACACCCGTCAGCGGGTCAAATTACACAAGCAATAGCTCCGCAGAGAAGAGCATGCTGCAGGTGTTACGAGGAGTGTTGATTTCTATGCGGATGCCCGCATATTTTCTGGACATCACGCGACTTTCGGAGCTCCGTAAGGACGGCCACCCCTCCATCTATAGTGGCGACCTCACCCCACAGCAGCGAGCCAATCCTGACCGCTCATCCGACTGCAGCCATTGGTGCCTTCCAGGCCTCCCTGACACGTGGAACGAGATTTTCTATGCGGCCCTCTCCTTCTTCTTCTGACCTCTTTTCTTTTTAACCCCAACTTAAATGTTATAATTGTATCATTAGTGTTGAAATTAGGGCTTAATTTGTAATAATGTATTTTATTTAAGGTTTTCTTATTATACAATTGGAAGTCATACATGTGTATTAAGATATCTAATGTTATATTTTTATTTATGATTCACATTTATTTTAATAACTTATGATATGTATTTTTAATAACTTAAGTCTTTAATTTTCTTAACTCATACATGAGAAATGTTAGAGAGAAAAGACCCATCTTTTAGAAGTTACGGGCTTACTATTTATAGAAAAAAAATACATACAAAATCTAAAATTACATTTTTGCCCCAACTTTAATGAGGAGTTACATGTTATTATTATCTTTTTATTAATACTTTGCTTTGATAGTGAGTTACAGGTTCTTACGATGCATTTTTATAATCCCCGCTCTAGTAGGGTAGCTATAGGTATTAATGGTGTTTTTAATATAACTGATTTTTTTGTATATTTTCATTATCTTTTTATCTGGACCGTTAGATTGTCTTGGTCTTCGTGCAAATCGTTATTGAGAGCACAACATACATTCCCCTCAATTGTTATATATTTACATATCTATGACCAAAACTTTACTTCTTTTTTTTTTTTGTTTACGGCAGACTAATATTTCATATCATATAAAAAATATCATCATGACTAACATTTACAAAACGTACTCCAACTTTTCATAGGTAATAATGTAAAAAATCAAAGTTGGGGTCTTAGATTTTGTAAATACATCTGAATTATGTGACATATGTATATAAATCTTCTAAATATCAAAAGGTTACAATGAAGTAAACTCTTAAAGTTTTAGAGAAGTTATTTGAGATGTTAATTTATGATAATTATAATTAAATGTAGCTTGCATTTCATGGATGTTGAACTAATAATAGAGGTTGTAACATGCCTATTATGATGGCCTTATTGTACATTCTTGCCACCCAATTCCAATGTATTTATACATCTAACCTTCCAAACTTTATTTCTTACATTTAAGTCACTCAAAATCTTTTTATATCAAGGAAAAAAATATCATCATTTTAATTTTTAAAATGTGAAATACACTATGTTTTGCAATACATCATATTACATATTCAACCTTCTTTAAAAGGGGCATTTACATGCATACCACCAATTCTTATATACGTTAGATATGTAAATACATAAGAATTATGCATTATGTATATAAATTTCCCTATTTTACTTCATAATCATAGATCATGTATATACTATGAGGTCATGTAGAATATACACATGAAAAAAATCATATCTTTAGGTGTGAGAGCTCCCAAACCCACGCGGGTGAGCCAAACCCCGTAGGCTCAATCTAGGTGGGCGAGGGATCAAGCGACCCTTTCTATTTGGAGTGGAGCCCACTTCTCTTTACCCTTAGACTATATATATGTTATTTGTTAGGAGTGTATTCGAGGACATGTGACGTTTTTGGCTGTGTTATGCTCTAAAGTGGTTGCTTGTTGACGCACCCTTCAATAGCCTGTGATTGCCGCCCCCTAACTATCGATCCGACACTGGAGTGCACAGAACCATGCAAGCAAGCCAAATGCAACCGGCTGGGTCTAGGTGTTAGAGGGATCCAACGACCCTTTCTATTGGAGCAGGGCCCAACCCTCTTTATCCTAAGACTAAATATATGTTATATGCTAGAAGTGTATTCGAGCAACGTTTTGACTGTATCCTTCTTTAAAGTGGTGATTATCTTCTTGCATTCCTCTTCCCTGCCTTCCCTTGCTTGCTTTCGCCCCTCCAAAAGCCTCTGATTGCTGACGAACCCTTCGACGGTCGACCGAACTACGTCGCCCCGTACCGACCCCCTTCCTGCTTGCTGTCGCACCCTCCACAACCCTCATGCTTGTTGTCAAGCCACAAGATCACTTTTCCCTCGCTGCCACTGCATCCCACCACCTTTGATCCTCACTTTATTCGTGTTTATTTCGTTGTTGTCTTATTTTCGAGTGTCTTTATTTGTAACACACTTTAAACTCTAGTAATAATATTATAATTCTTTCATGATTTGGGTTAATTTCGGCATCACTCCAATTCCTAAATATACATTTTTATGCATATACCAAATGGCATATATGTAAATAATAAAATTTAGATGTTAGATATGCAAATACAGAGAAATTGTGCACTATCTCATTCATACTTCAAAAATCAAATGCCTAACAAAAGTTTCAATTTAGTCCATTAATTTCGCTATAATATAATATAACCACGTTGGTAAGTAATTAATTAAATAATTAAAACCCTAATTACCAATCCCCCCTTCCGCCAACCTCGCCAGCACCCCGACGATCGCCGCCGCCGTCACCGTCGACGGCCCCCCCCGCCGCTAATTAATCGATAATTACTCCGATCATCTTCGTAGCCATCATTAGCATCCGGCCCGCCGACAATCGCCCCCTCAATCACATTAGGGTTAGGGTCCGGGCTATCAAACCATTCCTCAAACCCTCCCTTACAGTCCACCGGCGTCGGGTCCTCCGCCACCGAAACAATCGAAGCCCCGCGGTGGTGCACTTTCGCCGGCGAACTCCGGCCGAACCCGACCATATAGCTCGCATTCCTAGGGTTCGCTCCGAGGAGATAGTCGACTTGATTGGCGACGAAGGAGATGATTTCCGGCGGGGAGACGGCGGCGGAAGGGCAAGAGAGGGAGGCTCCGGCGGCGGCGAGATGGTCGGAGTGGACGGAGAGGAGGAGGAGGGCGGCGGTGGTATACTGTAAATTGTTCCAGGGTAGAAACCATAGGAGGCCGCCGGGGGTGAGTCGGGCGTTGTTAGGGTTTCTTTGGAGGAGTGAGCAGAGGAATTGATCGGCGCTGTTCTTGTATTGGATCATGGAGCCGGTGGCGTTGACTCTCTTCTCCAGAATGAGCTGCGAAGAGATGGAAATCGAATCCAATTCATTTTTTATTTAAATGTATGAATCCACGGAGTGAGCCGAGAAAAGGGAGAAGAGAACCTTGGAGACGAGAAGCTGAGCGCCGGCGAACTTGTCGTCCCAGGAGAACATGGACCGGACGCCACCATTGTTGGACTGTGCGAGGAAGTCGAGGTAGCTCTGTTTTCCGGTGGCGCGGTGGAGCCACGCCGCCGCCCATAGAAGCTCATCCTGCACAGTGTAAATTAAAAATAAATTGTGAAATATATATATAATTCTTCTAATATTTTAATAACATATAATTTAATTATTATGTTTAGAAATATAAAAATAAAAATAAAAAAAGAGAATATTCCATCCGGATGGCCATTCACCAACAGTCAGATCACTACACGTCATCGACAGACAATGTGGTTGCAAATGAATGACTTTTGGTCGTAAAGGCCCGAAAAAAAGGAGAAAATATTATGTCCGGAATGCGGACGAAGACAACGTCTGAACAACGAACGCCATACACTTAACGGAAAAAAAAATAGGACCTAATATATTCTCGAAAAAAGTCCCAAAATTACCTCAAAACCACTGCTGGAGTAGAAATTGGCGGCCACCGGAACGCTGTTCTGATACAACCCAGGATGGTTCTTAGCAAACTCGAATAACTACATTCAAAATAAATAAATAAATAAATAATTAAATAATTAATTAATTTAACTATCAAAATTATAAACCAAAATTAATTAATATAAATTACTTGCTCCGCATGAGAGAGAAGATCGTCCGCATATCTCGGATCGGACGGCCGAAAAGCGAGGGAAGCGGCCGCCATCGCGGCCGCTGTCTCGCCGGCGACATCGGCGCCGGGATTGGATCCGTCGACCTTATAAGAGGTGCGGGGGGTGGTCATGTCCTCCGGCCTCTGCCAGCAAGCGTGGTCGGAATCCCCATCGCCGACCTCGACGTAGAGCTGGTCGGGGGCGGCGTGAGCTCGCCGGAAATAGTCGGTTCCCCAAGAGATGGCGGCGAGCGCGTTGTTGAGTTCGCCGGCGGCCGCCAGCTGATGCCGGAAGTGGAGTGCGGCCCAGGAGAGAGTGGTGATGGTGAAGGCCATTGGGAAGCCGAACTTAACGTTGTCTCCCGAGTCGTAGTATCCTCCCACCAAATCCACCTGCAATAAGCTCTTTTATCAGGGGTTTTTATGTAAAAATACTCTAAAACATTTAATATTATGGAATTTTCTTCTAATTTTAAGATTTTACATTTCAAACATTTAAAAGCCATTCAAAATTTTAAATTTAATAGGAAATTGTTTTTTTATTTTTAACTTTTATATATTTACATATCCAACACCAACATTTTCATATTTATATATACACATCACTCAAATTTTTTATATTACATAAAAAAAATAATATTAATATTAACTTTTTAAAAGTGAAGTACACAAGTAACATATCACACAATTTTTTACATATCTACTTATCTAACTAGGGGTGTAAACGAGTCAAACAAAAACAAACAAAATTTGTGTTCGTGTTCAATTTGTTTGAAATAAACTCGTGTTTGAAATTGTTGGTGAAGTCACTGGTCGTGCTCGTTTCTTAACGAACAAACCGAACACGAGCTGTTCGCGAGCTGTTCGCGAACGACGAGTCAGTTTATTATTTTAAATTATTTTATATTTCGAACAATAACGATTCAAACACGAATGAACACATCACTGTTCGTGTTTATTCGTTTAACTAACCGCACGAAAAAAAATTGTTCACGTTCGTCTCGTTTATTTATCGAATGAATCAAATATAACTTATTGACAAACCGAACACTAACTGTTCACGAACAACGAATTTTTTTGACAGCCCTATATCTAACACCTAAATTTTCATATATATATATATTTGAAATTACATAAAATATCATTAATATTTACTTTTTATTGTTTAAAAGTGAAGCATACCTTTCAATGCATAAATCCTTACACTAAATTATTACAAATGTAAATACATGAGAATTGATGGGTATGCATGTAAAATTAAGAAAATAATAATAATGAAGCTTACGCCAACATCGCCGCCATCTTTGAGGGCAGAGTCGCCCCGCCAATGGACTCGCTGGTCGGATGGTAATTTTCCCGATCTCTGAGCCTCAAAATATAGTAGAGATTTAGTCAACGCCTGCTTATAGCCACCTGCAGATGCAGCCCCTCCATGCCTCACAGCAAGAAGCAGAGCTAAAAAAACCCTAAAAATCATTTCTATTTAATTAAAAAAATGTAAATTATATTTCCCACCTCTTAAGAATTTATAGGGTGGAAATAAATCAAAATTTGATAAATTAATTAAATACTTACCATTCTAATTATTTAACAGATCTGAAATTAATGTTTTTCTTTTTTTTATTACGCATTTAAATTAAAAATAATTTGTTTTTTTTTTCATAATTGGAAATATTTCCTTATATTAAATAGCATTAATTTCTTGATTGGAATTTAATATTTATTTATTTAGATGATTTAAAGGAATGTGTTAATCATTCCTTTAATGAATTAACAACTAATGTGGTGAGTTGTCGTCATAATTTTCAATAATAATCATCACATCATCGATTATTTGAATTGAATGATGTAAAAAATATAAATAAAATAAAGAAAAACTCGATAATTGATTCGAATTTTAGCTCGGATCGAAATAGACGAGCCGAGTTATGAGCCAAGAGTTTGGATCAAATTTTGTTCAAGTTGATTTCGAGCCATACAGGGATCGGCTCGAACTGGCTCGAGATCGACTTGAATTATTTTTTATTTATAAAAATTATACATAATGGTAAAAAAAAATCAAATATAACGAGCTACAAGACAATTTCGAGCTTTTGAGTCACCTTGCTTGGATGTCGACCTTGAATGGATCCAAATAACTCAAATTTGAGCTAGTTCGTTTCGATTTTGAGTCAGATTGAGCACGATTCAATTTCGAGCTGAGCGAACATAACAAGCCACAGAACCATTTCGATCTAAACTCAATTCATTTGAGCCGATGTCGAGCCCACATTGGATGATGCTTGCTTGCACTTGTGCACAAAATAATTAAATATTTGCTAGTTTGGAAAAAAGGATATTGTAATAAAGATATAAATGATGTAATTAAATGATGCTCCTATACCAATTATATTATATCAAAATGATGTGGATATATGAAACAAGCTACGATATGGTCCTTTTTTTTTCATTATACAATTATAAAAGCCTTGTTTATATCATCATATTGAAATTAAATAAAATGCTTTATGATTTTATACTAATTCATCTACTATAAAAGCCTTACATATTAATTCCATAATTTCTTATGTTATGATAAATTAGAGCAATGATCTATTTTATAAGTTGTGTTATAATCTCTATTTATTTTTAAAATTAATTGAATTCTATGATTTAGTGGCACTTTCAATCTATTGAAAATCATTATTAAAAAATAATTTATGAGCAATAGTTTTGATGTTATTTAATGTTAGTAGTGTAAGTATTAAAATTAAAAATGTTTGATGATTTGTTTCTGCCTTAGCATTTCAAGCTTTTGGTATTGGCCATAAAAAAAGTAGTATTATATATGGTGGAATTAGGGATGTAAATGAACAAATGCACTTGATGAACAACTCGAACTCGACTTGTTTAAGACTCGACCATGTTCGTTCAAATTAATAAATAAACAAGCTTGAACACTTTTTAAGAGCTTGAAACTTAAATGACTTAAAATTAATAAATAAACAAGCTAGACATGAACATAGTTGAATTAGTTCAATTATGCTCACCAACAAACTTGTTTGTCCAAATAGCTTTGCACCTACAAGCTATGTCCTAGATTACTCTTGTTTCTGTTTATAACTCTCACTGCATGGGCAATATCCAATCTCTGCTGAAAGCCTTTTTTCAACAAGTCTAGCCTTTTACCTCTTACTGCCATCAAACTCAGTCTTCACCTGATACACCCACTTGTTATGTAATGCCTTCTTCTCTAGTGAAAGTTTTGTCAGCTACCACTTGCTTGAACTTTCATATTACAAGATTTATTCATAGCTCTTTCGTTCTCCACCATCAGTCTGTTCCAGTCTGTGGAACAATAGGAATGGGTGTCCCGGACCCACTATCTTCTTCAATTCAATCATCAACAGAACTATGAATTGCCAACAATAGTGCATCATGTACTTCTTCAGATATCACATTTGCGATATCATTCTCCATCTTCTTAGGATTCCTGTAGTTCCTCTTTATATGGCCAGCCTTGCCACAATTCCAGCAGGTTGCCTGCTGCCTAGACTTTGATTTTAATCTCTCTATATTTGAGTTCCCATCCTGACATCTCCTTCTGAAATCAACATTCAGTGCCGAACTCCAACCTGAGATCTCACCAGAATTTTTCCTGCGCACCTCCTTAACCAAAATCAAATGACGAATATCATCACATTTCAGTTTAGATTTACCCACAGAACTGCTAACTGTCATCCTCACAGCTTCCCAACTATTTGGCAATGATGTCAACAATATCATCGCACGTATCTCATCATCAAAATCAATTTCAACAGACAACAATTGATTTGTGATAGTATTGAAATCATTCAGGTTTTGAGCAACAGAAACAACTTCCGTCATCTTCAAATTGAATAATTTTTTTCATCAAGTACACATTGTTATTCGCCGATGGCTTTTCATACATACCTGATAAGACTGTCATGAGATCTGCAGGCGTCCTCTCTTTGACGACGTTGTGTGCAACGGACCTTGATAGGGTCAATCGATTAACCTCCAAAACTTGTCGATCCAACAAATTCTATTCAGTCTCATCCATCCTTTTAGGTCTTTCCCCCAATAACGGAAGATAAAGTTTCTTCCCATAGAGGTAGTCTTCTATCTGCATCCTCCAATAACCAAAATCTGTGTCACTTCATCTGCAGACACCATTCTTCCTCAAATTCGAACAAAGCTCTGATACCAGTTGTTGTGGTATATATGAAATTTAAAATAGGAGAACGATCTTTGATGAAGTAGCGAAAAATAGTACGAGAAAATTCACACAAAAAAATAGAAACATAATGGAACACACATATTTACGTGGTTCGACAAATTGCCTACGTCCACGGAGTTGCAGAGGATTTTACAACTTGAGGAATTTACTCCAATAGATCGTCTCGACTTACAAGAGAAATCTCTCACTTTGTTGCTCTCTCTTCTTCCTCTCTGTTCTTCTCTCTCTACACCAAAATATATCGAAGAAACTCTAAACCGAGATACACCGAAGAAGATAAACTTACAAAAGAAATAAACTCAATTTATTTTCTGCCACAAGTCACCAAGAAGAAGCCAAGGAGAACAATCTTCTTCTTTCTTCCTTCTTCACAGCAAGGAACTACACCTTGCACTTCTCTTCCACTCTCTCCCGTGGAAGTCCTTCCACTATCCCGTGAAAGCCCGAAGAACAACACAAAAGACGTGACTTCAAAACTGAAGGAGACATGCGATCCTTTTATCACGAACAGGAAGGGTGTTCGGTGACGTTTCGCGAAACAACAGGGAGTCACATCTATTCGCGGTCAGACCGTGCTCCAGCATAGCACAGTATCTGTAAGAATCAGTTTAATATGAACTCACTGACAACAATAAGACGCTCCAACAAAACCACAACATTCACAATAATCCAAAGATACAAAAGCATATGCTCAATATGTGCCGGAAAAAGTGAATATTAGCTTAAGATGAGCAACAATTCCAACCATTTTTGAATCACAATAACACATAAGCATGACAACCTTTTATTGATTCTAGATGTTACCAAATGAGCACGAGTGAAAATTCATAATAAATTTTGGATCGAAAGAAAACAAATCACATCAGGGATGCATCTTTTCAATGAAGTATGGGCATAATAGCATTCAAAGAAGATATGATTACGAGACTCAATACAAGAGTGACAAAAGGACAGTCCAAGGATTAAAAAAGAAAAGAAGACTGTTGTTGCCAATGACCTAAAATTAAAGAGAACTTGTAATTCTAACAACCACTTGCATCAGATTTTTCCAAAAGGGAGATGTAGTATTTCTGAGTTTCACCCAAATAGTCTTCGATGCACCAAAAAGCCAGAAAATAATCAGAATTGTAGAGCCAGCATATAATTTTGGATTTAAACATAGGATTAATGATATCAAGATTAGGAAACCCCAAAATCACCGCAATGTTTTGGTTTTGTTATTGTTTTTCGAGCTATGGTGTGAAGGTTCTTATAAGCACCACTATGATAAAAAAAAGTTTTTCGAGCCTGCAGAGTTGGTTGAAAAAAGTGAGGAACAGGGGAGAAAAGCCCAAGAAGAGGAATGACTATAGGAGATGGGAGACGATCGTGAAGGAGGGCGACCCAAATGACGGAAAAAAATTTGTGTACGTACGTCAATAACCTATAAATATGTTACAGAGAGATTATTGGAGGGTTATATTCGCGTTATACCCCCTGTAATCTCCCTGTAACCTACCGTAACCTACAAATATATAAAAACAGAAACGCGAAATTTACTAGAAGATGCATGAATGTTACAGAGAGGTTACAAGGGATATAACGTGATTATAACCTCTCAATATTCTCTCTGTAATCTATTAATATACGCAACGCTGCGTACATCTTACGTACACAAATTTTTCCCCAAATGACGTGAGATGGGAATGGGGGGTTAGTTTGAAGTAAAAACTCCTAAATTAAAATATATTGAATACACTTGTGAACCAAATTATTAAGTTTTGAACTTGTATGATTAGTTACAAATATAATAAAAAGAAAGAAAAATTAAAAGATCAATAATTAAAGAAAAAATATTTGATAAAAGAAAAATGAAATATAATTTTCATTACTTTTAGAAACTTTATACTTGTACTATTAAATTCTAATACAATTAACATATACTTAACATGAATACTTATTAAAATGATCAATCCAACAAACCAAATATGTTAAGTTTTGGAAAAAAAAAATATTATCTCCGTAGTTTGGATGCAAGCTACGTCCGCACAACTGAAGGGATACACCGTGGGCAGTTTTTTATTTTTTTTTCTCCAGTGCTCTGTCCGTTTTATTGCGCCCGTTGTTCGGACGTAGTTTTGCGTCCAAACTTCATACGCTATATTTTTTTCCAATTTTTGACTCGTTTATAACTCGGTAGTCATTTATTGAGTCAATGCACGAGTTAACTTGGCTAAAACCTCCAAGAACAACCCATAAAATGCTGGAACTGTTAGTTGTTTATGTGAAGAAAATTTGACAAATAACTCAAATTAACTACTAGCTAAAGCTCAATACCAATGATTAAAAATAATAATGATATAAGAACTAATAACAAGCCTTGTTCAGTGACTCAATAACCTAAAACTAACAAAACAATGACATGGCTATAGACTGAAAAAACCTTATTTCACAGCTCATTGTTAGGCTATCCTCTGCTCGAATGTCTAAAGCACAAAAGTTATAAATAAAATAAAGTGCCAATCACGGTGATTCAAAATTTTGCCGCCGCTGCCGCAGCTCGCGATCGTTCCAATTTATTTTGAACCACTTGAAAGCAGGAGCTCATCAATTTGGGAAATCGCTTTGATATGGGTATTTGGCAGCAATAACCGCAGCAAAGGAAGCATGGAGGAGGAAGACGGAACCCTTGCCCTGATCTTCTGTGCCGCTTCCTTAACGACATGAGGCGGCGGCAAGCTGTACCATTGAAGGTACCAAAAAAATGGAATGGCTTCTTGTTCATGGAATCCAGATAGGTTATGAGGCCAATTCTCCAAATTCATATATTTTATCAAACAGTCTCTCAGGCCTGAAGAGCTGCTGAGAATTCCTTCTACATGCTTTTTGATGGATTCCAGAAATGTGGATTGGATGATGCCTCCTCCTCTTGTGGTGGAGAGTTTACCACTTTTCAAAGCTTCATTATAAGCTAACGCAAGCTGCAGAATGATGAGAAATTGTTGTCATTTTTTGCAGGTTTAACAACTTTATCGCACTTCATGTTCACAATAACAAAAAATTATTCAAAATATCAACTAAAAAAAAAGATAAAAGATAAATACAGAAAATAAAAGTGATTCCAAATAAGCCCTAAAGAATGACAAAATGGCAGCTAGAAGATGCCTAAAGAGCCTAGGCTCCAGCCGTATTTCGAAGGGATATTTACGTACATACTATCCAATTCTTATGTATTTACATGTCTAGCAACTAAACTTTTTACATTGTACTTTTATACCACCCAAATCTTTCATATCACATATAAATACTACTATTTTAATTTTTAGAGAGTGAAAATACACCTTTTCATGCATTGATATGATGGCTTATATACAAATTCAAGGTTTTAATTTGTATGTTTGTAAATCTTCCTTCTTGATTTATAAACTGAAAGTCTCAGATAACAATTTCAATGGATGCAAATGCCTAAACAATTATTATCTGCATGTAAATGCCTAAATAAAATTCCATACCTTTAAACTTTGTAGAAAAGATAAATCATGAAAAACAATGCGGCCATCTTTGACCTGTTCCCACATTGATGCAATTGTTGTGTACAGTGAGAGATAAATCTGCAAATCAGAAAAGGTAGGCTATTGCAATATTTGCACAGAGAACACATAATGCATACTCTCATTCTAGTTTAAAATACCGGCAGAAGAGCTGGCCTATCATTGCTGACACATTCAAAAATTACTTGTGAGCAGAATTCCTGGAAATTGTCGTCTCTGAAAGAAGAAGAATATAAAGGTTGTTACAATTATAATTATCAAAATAAACTTTCAAAATAATGCTAAACCAAATTCAATTTGTTTTATCAGTAAGACATAAAAAGAAGCCATTACCATAAAGATCGCTTCCCTAAGAGTTCACCACTGCATAAATCAGGACTTACAAGCAAGACTTATTGGAACAAATTTAGCACAACCATGTAATGTTTAAACTCCGCATTTCCTTTTTGTCTAGCTGTATTTTACAAGAATGCAGTAATAGAGTAATCTACAGCACTGAGGGTAAAATTGCAAAAGACAAAATGGCATGAGATTTAAGACGGCAGCAAAGCAGGGTGAGGGCGAGCTTCAAGATGACGAATCAGTAAACAAAGAATTTAAAGCACCAAAACCACTAAATGAAGATCCAAAGTACTGCCGAAGTAGATTAGAATACTGGCCAAGATTGCTTCCTTTGACAAGGCAATGATAAATGTGGGAGATTCAGGACTATACTACAGCTAAAAGATGTGATGATCAGAGGATTGTTCAGCATTGTAAAATTGAATTGATGGTAGAGCTGGGAGAATAATTTTTTCATCAAATTCCTTGCCTCTTTCTTTCACTCGAGCAGACTTCACATGAGCATGTAAGTATCATCTCCTATACTGAATAAATTATTTTCCACGTGGAACCATATATCAATCCATGATAGAAGCTCAAGATAGGATAAAGAGGTCTTTTCCTCGAAAAAATATTACATCAGTACTACGCACGTAGAAATATCGTGTGTATGCTAATAAATAAACCACCCGACACGACAGGAGAAAAAAAACGGCGCAGTAACACAAGGAATATTCCCTCCAGTGTTATTCATGTGTTATTGTGTGTTATTCATATGTTATTGCGTGTTATTCATGTGTTATTGATGTGTTATTGTGTTATTATAACACCAAGAATATTCTCAGGATACAATAACACATGAATAACACACAATAACACTTAAATAACACAGGGAAGAATCTTGTGGGTGGTAGTGCGCCGTTTTTTTCTCTGTCGGGAATATTCCCTGTGTTATTTAAGTGTTATTGTGTGTTATTCATGTGTTATTGATGTGTTATTGTGTTATTATAACACCAAGAATATTCCTAGGACACAATAACACATGAATAATACACAATAACACATGAATAACACGAAGGGGAATATTCCCCGTGTTACTGCGCCGTTTTATTTTCTCTATCGCACAGGGTATCGTGGCGTTATTTCATTGGCTACGCATGCTACTCTACGTGCGTAGTACTGATGTAATATTTTTTCCTTTTCCTCAACTAAGTTCAAGGTTTAGGTTTTTTAAAGCTGAGGATTGAGTAGTATAACAAGCTAAATCAATCCATTTAGCCAAGCATAACCCCGAAAACACCATGGCTTCTGGGAAATATGAAATTAATATATAACCTAAATCTATATTCAATCACTACAGTCCAACCACTTGAAACATGTTGGCATATTAGACAGCAAATGTATGAATGATGACATGCATCCCAATAGTTTGAAAATCAAGATAATCTTCCCTGAATCAGGCTTTATCACTCAAATGGAAGCTTTTAACACGGTACACACCAAGATAAAGTGAATTAGCAGTCATTCCTTCTCAAGCTTACTTAACCACTTCAATTAGAGGAACTTATCTGATATCGGAGTTGACCCGAAAAGACAATCAAATGCAAATATTATTGCTGAATTTTAAACAGAATCACAACAAAGGTTCATAACCTGAAAATAATAATAATACGAATAAAAACTAGCCCCTAGGGCGAGGACGACAGTGATGAACCCCGGCTAGGCAGAAGGGGTGGTGGTGGATGGAGGGGTTGCGACAGCAGGTGGGTGGAGGGCAGGGAGGCAGCGGCAGAAATTAGTCCCTGGAAGGGGTGGCGATAGTGGAGGAGGTTGCTGGTGTGGTTGGGAGAAACAAAGAGGGGGCAGGCAAGAGGAGTGGCAGTGGTTTAGGCAGAAGAAGGCTGGCTGTAGTGGGTGTAGGTGGGGTGAAGTATGGTGGATGACAGGAAGAGGTTAGGAGTGATCAGCGGTGCTCAGGTGGGCGCTGGAGGGTCAGCGGCAACAGGAAAAGGGTGCATCAGGATCCAGGTGGCTAGCTGGATGGGAGTGGCAGATCTCGGCAGCAAAAACCAGGAGGGGAGAGGTGCAAAGAACAGACAGCAAGCTGGAGGGGGAATACAAAGAGGGACCACGGAGATAAACCACCACCTTGGAGAAGGATGCAGATGGAGCAGCATCTGTCTTCGAATATAGTCCTAGAAAAGAGACAAGTGCCTGATGGCTGGAAATCAAAAATCAGAAAAGTAAAAACTGAGACCTAAACAGCAAACAACATATATTTATGATACGAAAAATAAAAGA